ACAGCAAGTCAGGGGTTTAATCACTGATTTAAATGAACAGTTTCAACATTTGTGACTATACATTTTGGATATTTTCTGTCATATATAGTGTTATCAATAGGGAAAAAGTGGGTCTTACATCTGGGAGTATGGCATCATCACATTCGAGAATATGAAAACCATCAATTTATGGGTTTCAATGGCAATGGTATTCTATGACCATAACAATAAAAGTCACATATTAAGCAAAATTGACTCTTGTGAGCTTTAAGCCATGTTAGAATATTGTTCCCTCTTCAAAAACCTACCTGGAGTTGTTTTTTGTTTCATTCATACATGTTTGAGTAATCTTGGATCATAAGTCTGTCAAAATGCTTTCTTCTACCTTGTGATGTCATGAAGCAGTAGCTTTTGTTTTGAGAGCTATCTCTTACCTTTTGTTTACTAGAGATTTGAAATTCCAGGGCTGATATTGTCCAAATGATTCTAGTGAAGTTGTGTGGAATTTAAAAGCATAGAGGACTCCTTGCTGTATTACCACATGACATCACAAGGTAGAGAGTGTTTTCTGTGTGAGAGAAGAATTCAACCTAAATATGCATGGGGTTGTGTGTTAAATATTTATGAATTAAATAAAACCCAATTCCAGGTATGTTGTTGATGAAGAAATAATATTATTACATAGACCAGAAAATAACATAATATGGGCCCTTTAAGCAATTCAAATCAAAATGTTATATCTTTTGAATGTGGTCCTCACAAAGTCCTTCAAATACAGTAGCTTGTCTGAAAAACCCATCAATAGCAATCTCAATAGTCAGAAGAACCATCCAGCCCTAATAGTGATTTCAGAGGGAAAGGGAGAATGAGGTGATCCTAAATATGTCCTGGTTAAATCAGGAGCCTTATTATGTTGAGCTGAAGGATGGGTTGAAGTAGTGAGTTTATTAGAGAGAGCTGGTGTGTTGCTTTGCTGAAACGATGCTCCAGAGCCTCACTACGTGGAAGTCTCTTTTATGGCCATATTAATTGTTTCCCTGTGGACCCTGTAGGACTGTATACGACGCATCGATTTGCTCATTTGGTTGAGTGAAAATCCTTCAGAGCTGCTGGCAAAGGTAAAGCCCGTCCTCTGTAATGCCACTTTTGTGTTTTGCCTCAGAAGCTCTCATGGGCATTTTGTTTAAAGGGAGTGTTATCTATAAACATAAAGACCTGCTTAGGGATTATATTGGACTATGTGGTTTGGTTGGTTGTGCATCCTCACTGATATTTAAAGATGTAACAACAACACATTTTTTCTGAAATAAAATACTTATACTATACTTGTATAGTAAGTCTCCCACTGTATTGCCCACAAACTCTCCATTTTGAGCAGTCTGCAGTCTTCCCCAAAGACATTTTCTTTACAGAGTGTTATTAATAAAGAAAAATAATACAATAAAATTGTGGAATTCATAAAAATTAGCTACTTGGTCACTAACCTGAAGGCTGGTGGTTCATTTCCCCACTAATTGCATTTTGAATACATTATACGTCATTATGTCCCTGGGCAAGTTGGGGTGACTGTGTTGGTTGTGTTGGTAAATGGTAAACGTTCAGATTTTTATATAGTTATAATAATTGTATATTGTTGTTAGGGGAGGCCAAAGCATTTGGGGGGGGTATTCAACAGATTGTGAGAATTGTGAGCCTGTGATTCCCAGCCCTATATTCCTACGATATTCTGTTAGCACTACAGGTAAACACAATGCACAGCTCTGGATAGTCACAGAGCCTACTGAAATCCCAGTGCCTGTACTTGAATAAATGACAGGCTGGTGCCACTGTAAATCAAATAGCAAATTCACTGCCCAACTGGTAAACATCGGAAACTCCTGATAAAAAAAGAAGAAGCAGGCCAAAAGGACAATACAAACATCCATAAACATAAAGCCTTAGTCTTAGTGCAGCATGTGAAGTTTGAGTGACACCTCATCTGGATCTGCTCCCGAAGGACAGAGGAGCTGAATAATGGAGCACGCTCAGAGGGAATGATTAATATTTGATCTGTCCAAGCAGAAATGTGGTGTGAGAGGACTTCCCTGTCTATGAGTGACTCCGGGAAACATGTCTGCTACTATGTCACACTTTTGACGTTTAAATGCACACCTGAAAAACTGGGTACCTGGTCTAAATGTGGCTGCTCTTGTGTCAAATTGACTAGTTATGTGCTGCTGCATTAGATCCTGTTTGCATTAGATCCTGTTTGCTCCTTCTCAACTAGAGAACTCAGAGTGCACTAAGCAACCAAATGCCAATTGTCTTTGCCCCAAAACCAGACCACTCTTGTAAGGTGAGAACTGGGGGGGCTAAGAGATATTCAGGTGTATTTACAATGTATGTTTTAATAATAGGATGTTCAGATTTTAAATGCATCCAGAAGAATGGACAAAAATACTTATACTGTATATTATTCACATTTATCAATCATACTTGCAGCCTTCCCCTGTGCTGTAGCTGAATGGACAGTGGGATCATGGGTGAAGGTCTCCTGGATCACATTACTTAAACAGTCCCAAGCAGAGGTTTGTTCGTTTACGTTTTCCATAAAGTGCTCCTGCAGCACCCCACAGTGCCCCCTCGTACTGCCGCATGTGGTTGTTTGCCACTAATTATGATTTACTATGTTGAAGCAATATTTTTGAGAGGTGCAAGCACTGCATGGTTCAAAATAACATGTGTAATTAAACTAGAAATTACATATTTAGTTGTCATTTGCAAGTGTAAAACCACCTACTTCTTGCTTGATGAAGAAAAAATGGCAACCATTTTGTTATGCTAGTGTAGTTGTGTAGTTTACTAGTCGTGGGTTAAATGTAGAAATAAATTACAATACAGTAACAGTGCTATTTAACATATTTATCGCCTTGGTGACAAGCAAGTGACCCCAACAGACCAAGTTGCATGTTAGGTGTATTGTGGAGATGCGAATGCATGATTTCATTCAAAGTGACAACGCTTTAACATTCAAATATACATTGCACTGTCAATGTAGCATCAGAAACCCCATAAAGCAGCCATTCCCAGCTATACCACAGTCCCAATCAATCTGAAAATCATGAGGGCCCCCAAATAATAATTGGCACTACTTTTAATAGAATATATATTTTAATGTTTTTTTCCCTTAGATTTACATGTTAGTATTATGCCTGTAGGCATAATACTTAGATTTACATGTTCGTATTATACTGGTAGGCATAATACTAATATAACGCAATACATTTGAACTAATATTTTTATGTAAGGTTAATTTCAAACTTGATTTACTTTTTATGCTTGTTTTGTGAATAACATTTGGGGCCCCTGTGCAATGCCTCTGAGGCTCCCCATTGGCCCCCAGACCTCTCTTTGAGAACCACTGCCATAGAGTCACTACCTGTGAAACTCATTAAAGTGACCCCTAATGTTCCAAAATCAGTATATATCAATACTGTACAATAATGACATTTCATGACACGTTTGTAAACTTCTAATACAGAGTTAGCAGTTTTTATGCTATGATTCTCAGAAAATGTCTTGTGATTTGCTAATTGCATGCATTCAAAACGCGATTTCGATTGAATTGCGATAATCTTGTAGTCTGAGTTCTCTGTGCAAGTGAATGTACTGACTGACCAGCTCCACCTCAACAGCCTTGGTTATGTGCATTAGATCCTGTTCTCTCTCTCTCTCTCTCTGTCTCTCTCTGTCTCTCTCTCTCTCTCTCTCTCTCTCTCTCTCTCTCTCTCTCTCTCTCTCTCTCTCTCTCTCTCTCTCTCTCTCTCTCTCTCTCTCTCTCTCTCTCTCTCTCTCTCTCTCTCTCTCTCTCTCTCTTTCTTTCTCTCCAGAGAATCGCCTGACTGCATCTGGGGCTCATTTGCTGTCTGACAAAACTCCTCATTCAAACAAATACGGTATTCTCTGTCGGTTTTAACTGTGAGACGACCTTAATTGGAACTGGGGCTTAATGTTCGGGCCCATGGGAATGAAGGAGCAGTGCTTCCTATTACAGCTCTCTATATGGCTGCACAATGAACATATTGGTTAGAGCAGCGCTTCTCAGACTTATCCACTTAAGAAAAAATCTTGCTCTCCAAGTACCACCAGATCTAAAATAGGTCTGTAATAGGTTACAGTAGTTCTAACTAAGAAATTTCCTAAAGGAGGAACACAAAGTGGATAAAATTTACTCTAAATTAAAAGGGCCCATATTACACTACTTTCTGATCTGTTGTAATGTTGTTTCCTCATCACAAACATACCCAGTGTTGTGTTTTGTTTCATTCACACATGTTTAACACATAAATTCTATATATTTAGGTTAAGTTCTTTTCTCAAACAGAAAACACACAGAAGAACTTGTGATGCCATGAGGTAATACAGGACATGCTCCGCTATTCTTTTAACTCCATACACCTTCACTAGAATCATTTAGGCAAGGCAAGATAAGTTTATTTGTATAGCGCAATTCTTACACAAAGTAATTCAAAGTGCTTTACAGAATAAGAAATACATTAAAATCATAATAAAACAAATCAAAACATAAATAATCATCATAAAATGTAAAAGAGAGAGAGAGATTAATTACATAAATTAGACAGAAGAGTGCAGACCTTTCAGTCATATGCACAGCTAAACAGAACTGTTTTGAGCCTGGATTTAAACATAGTCAAAGTAGAGGCCTGTCCCACATCTTCAGGAAGACTGCTCCAGGTTTTAGCTGCATGAATCTGAAACGCTGACTCCCTGTGTTTAGTCCTGACTCTGAGCAGCAGCAGGAGGCTGGTCCCTGAGGTCCTCAGAGTGAGAGATGGTTCATATGGCACTAACATGTCACAGATGTACTTTGGTGCTCAGCCATGGAGAGACTTGTACACAAGCAGAGCCACTTTAAAGTCTGTCCTCTGAACCACAGGAAGCCAGTGCAGAGACCTGAGCCAGGCAGAGACCTGAGCCAGTGCAGAGACCTGAGCCAGGGCAGAGACCTGAGCACAGGACTTATGTGCTCATACTTTAGCCATTTAATTTCAGCCCTGGAATCTCCAATCTCTACTGAACTTAAGGTAAAAAGTAGCTGCCAACTTGAAAGCCATCACTTCATGGCGTCACAAGGTGGAACAGAGCAAATATTAGCAAATATTAGAAGTACAGACGACCTTGCAAGAAGTAGTTTGTGTACCACAGTTTGAGAAACACTGGGTTAGAGGTTTGTATAAGAGCAGTCTTGACACAGAAAAGGAATTTTATTTTGTAAATAAGAATACACTCTTATTAACTTATCTAGAAAAGTTAAGATCAGTTTCTAAGTTTGTCCACTTGCAGGTTGGTGGCCTGATTCCCTTTTAAAATCTTAATAAAAAATTGGAATGGTCAGAAAGACTGCAATGGTTTTATCTGCAAACAAGAAAACTTTCCATCTTATTTGTCTAGAATGTATTACATTGTTCAACCCTAATTTTTGCTTCTGGCAATTCATAATATTTGATAATTTATCCTTGGGCAAAACATGTCACCCACCTTTACTGTATTAATGTGTCAGTGTGATTTTGTAATTGGTGGTATTGGCATCCATGTCTTTCAATAGTTTTAATATATAGTTATAACTTGCAGCCAAATGTCATGTTTAAGGTATTATGATGGGTTTATATGGAAAGTCTGGGGGACAGTCATCTAGGCTCAACATTGACACATTTGAGTTGAGTTTGTATTCACGTGGCACATTTGAGAGTTGACACCCACTGAGTTGGAGGTGTGGGTGGAAAAACAGTGCCTGTTTAGGCAGGCTGTCAGTTGTCATGTCAAATATATATTTTAATTTAAGTATTTTTAACTTACCTAGGTAATTTTTAGCAGTAAAATAGCAGATTTTTATTAGACATCAGCTGATATGGATTGTTTTCATGGCTGATATTGATTGTTTAAAATACAGAGCACCTGATGGCCATAATGTTGGGCCGATTTTGATTATTTTCCCCAAATCCCCCAAAATAAATATATTATTCCCCTCAAACCCTTTTTATCACAAACTTATACGAGAGCAGTGTAGTCACGTTTTGTGCAGCTATCATTTCATATTAAAGTCTTAGTATGTATTTTTTAGACAGCAGATTGACCAAAGCGAAATATTGGCCTATGCTGGAAATTTAAGGCCGATAAAAGTCAGATATATCAGTCCGATATATCTGTCCGATATATCAGTTGGCCGGTATATATTCAACCAATATCTATCTTATCTCTATATCATTCAGCCCCCTTGCAAATAATAACTGCTTGTAGTTTTCAGCATTAATCTACTGTTTTGGTGCAGAAGAGACAGGACATACCCCTTTATAGCAGAGTTCTGTAAATGTTTATGCAACACCATACACAATACTCTGATGAATTACCATGAGGAAAGTGCTTAGTGGGGAGTTTTGCTCGTGTATTCTGCTCACCATCTCCGCGCAGCTTGGGTTATCCGCAGCGTTTAATAGCAGTGCGGCGTGAGCCAAAAGCTACAGAAAATGAGATAACGGTCTGTGTTAAAGGGCCAGCAGATAGACGCCACCAGGGGCATCAATCAACACAGCACTCACACAAACCGCCCCACACATGTTTGGAACAGGTGTGACCGGAGATGCCTCTAATCTGAATAGTTTTTCAAAGTGAAGCTAGAGTGATCTGTTCAACATGAGGCAATGGCTGGAGGTAAACAGAGGAGTCTCATATGCTTTCATCTCAAGGATAAACTATGAAACATTTGTTCAACCTCAAAACGACCTGAGGCAGTTTTTTCTTTTTTTTTTTTTTTTTTTCTTCTGTGTTTGAATTACCATCATTTCTCCCACAAACAAAATATCCTGTCTTATTCTGCATAAGAACTGCTAACCTAGTAGTTTATATCTGTACAAAAATGTTTTGAAATATGATTCCTATATTAATCTGTTCCTATTTTTAAACCATAAATTGCAAATCTATTCAAGGACTGAACAATTTGGGAAAATATTTAATTGTGATTTTTCTGACTTATGTTTTAATAATTCTATTCTAAGTGCACATTCTAAAAGTATCCAGAAAATTTGACAAAACTACAGAAATATGAACTCACAACTCTACAGCTCAACTAAAAGAGTATCATATCAGAACATGTTTACATGTGTACATCTGAAATACAAGGTTAGCAGTTTTAATGCAGAAAAAGACAGGATAATTTGTTGTTTGTAGAGGAAATTATGGTACTTCAAAAACTGCAGCCTTTGCTATTTGCTAATTGCATCCATTAAAATGGTGATTTCTCTTGGATTGTATTGCAATTAATTTCACAGCCCTATACTATAATTAAATAAGTAGCATAAATGAACAGCGGTTCACAGCATTATCGATGAGTCGTTGCAATGCTCCACTAGGTCGAGTATTTGCCCACCAACCAGAAGTTAGCTAATTCAGTTCATAAGCTGGGCTGTAGTGTGAGTTTTCAACCTCAAAAATCCACCTTGTTTAGAGATGTGCTCTTTGATAATGAAAACTGTAAAAAAAAACTCAAAGTATGACACTATTGTAGATTTAACATTAACATTTATCATGTCTATGTCATATTGGTTTTCTTATAGACAGACAACTTAATCAGTGAGATGTTTGAGCTGCTTGCAGTGAGCCATCCTCAGAAGTGTCTCCTAGCTGTCACATATCAATTGTTGTTACTTCCACACTTCAAGAACCTTTTCTGCTTAAAAGAAACCAATATGACTTTGTTTTGTTGCAATACCAAAATTTCAAACTGGATTTTGATACTAAGGAATAGATTTGATATCCAATACTTTTCCAGTACTACTATGATATTAAAAAACACTCTTTCTTTAGACTAGAATGTCATTTTCAGCATTAAATAACAGTACTTTTATGTGGCTTTATATCTGAGTAATCCCTCAGTCGACCAGGTGGGTTCCATAGTGGTCCATGGGTGTATACTAGTTTATGTGGTCTTATACTTATTCTGATACAGTTTAAGATTGTTCTAAAGCTATTCAGGAACAGTTCTTTTCAGTCCTGTGAATATGAACTTTTTTAGTATCAATTAGTAGCTAATTGTCAATAATTTTAACAACCGTAATATGTCTATTATATATTTATTTTTATTAGTTATGCTAGGTCTTTGCTGTGATCGGCTCCAAATAGATCCAGTTAGCTGCAAATTGTACTGAAAGTTTTTCCTCATCCCAAACATTTACTCTTGCTTTAACTTAAAACCCATCAAAAGGCACCAAATTAACAATAAGCCCACCACAAAATTGTCTTGCTAGTTTGATTTTCTAATGCCAAAAGCTGTTACGTTTATTCCACGGCCATGTGCACAGGAAGAGGATGCAGCGTATGGCACTGTTTTGTGGACAGCTGGTGTGGGATGGTGATGGTGGAGCATGATAAGAGCAACAATCTGTCCCATCCACACACACCCAGAGCCCTTGCTTCTGTAGCCCAGAGGAAGGTGACCGAAGCGGGGAAGGTGCCAGGGTCAGGTCCTTTGGGTGGTCGTTACAAAGGCAGTTTTATGGAGCTCTGTGATTGAGCTCTCACACTTCACTGGGCATATGCCATCTACTCACAAATGGGAGTCAGTGCTAGAGGTTTTTAATTGTGAATAATAGGGCTGGGGCAGTCGATAAGGATGAAAATGAATGTCTATTTTTATTAGGCCAATTACCTGAGCACTATATTACTACTATTACCAGTAGCCTTTATCAAGTTAATTATTCATGTATGTATGAGTCTTGGCATGGTTGTGTTTGCTATACTGGACTAGTGTTGTCAAGATTCTAAAATTTAAGACTTAATTTCGATACAAAGGAATAGACGTGATATCAATACAGATTCTGATACCACAGTGATAATAAAACAGTGTCATTTTCAACATTAAATCAGTACTTTCTTTTATATGACCATGTGGTCTTATATCTGTGTAATCCCTCAGTGGTCCAGGTAGGTTCCATACTGGTCTATGGGCGTATACTAGTATGTGCTCTTATACTTGTTCTGATACAGCTCAAGATCATTCTAAAGGAATTCAGAAAAGGTTAATTTCTGTCCTGTGAATGTGACTTTTTTTACTATTGATGTCTGCTCAAATGAGTTTCTAATTTCGATCGACTTATCTGTCAGTTAAAAGAATGTAAGTTTTTCAAGGCATCTAAAAAATGTTTTTACTGTTATTGTAATTGTGGTACATTTTGCTTTTGTCATTTTAATATTGTTTTACTATTTTGTTCTGGCTCATTTACTTCAAACTTGTTCATATGTGAAAAAAAGCTTTTTACACAATCACTTATACTTGCCGAAATGTTGATGGAAAAACTTCACAGTTTGGTGTAAATTGCCGCAGTAATTATGGCCTGGTGTCTCCATGTGAAGTGATTTTATGCCGTTCTTATTCGTAAATTAGTCTAAATCAGATAAATGTGTGCAACTGAAGACTGAAGACTGGTGTGGATTCCCCAGGCACGGCTCTGAGACTCTGTAAATGAAGCAGCACTAATGTCCCCCTCCTCTTCCCCACTCACATATATCTCTGTGTCTGTGTTTGACTCTGGGGAGGTCACACTTTAGTTATTGATAGATTTGATTTGATTTTATTTTGAGTACAAAAGGTAACCCAAAGATTACATTCTTGAAACAGGGCATAATTAGTAGTTTTTATGTTTCTTTCGAATTTTTTATTCATACTGTGGTAAAATGACATGTAGCAGTCAAGTGGAATTTTGTCAAGAAAAGAAGAAAAAAAATTGTTGAAAATTGCAGGAAGGAAGCAAGCAACTCTATCTGAACACAAAATCCATCTATTCAAATGCAGGGACAATTTATGCATAAAAGACACATTTTTCAACATGTTAAAGGTCAAGAAGCTTGAATGCTATTTTAAACTTGTTGCTTACAAACATGTTCCATCCTAATGGGATGAACATTTCTAATAATAATTCATTGTAAATTGGATGAATTATGTTTTTACCTCTGTATGCGTGTTGTGTTCAGGACCTGGGCAGCTCAGATGGTCCGCCGAGGAACTGGAAGGGCATTGGGATCGCAATGGTGGTGATTCTTGCTGTGATGTCCCTGGTCATTCTCTCTGTCATCCTCCTCACTCCAGGTAGGAAAGCACCGCCAATAAAGATTAACATGTCTCTTTTGACTACAACTTTGTATTACAGATTTCATATTTTATTCAGGAATCGAGCTATAGCATGAGTACATAATCATTTTACATTACCACAATATTGATCTACAATGACTTAATAATAGAAATGGGGCCACTGACTTCCTCTCCAAAACCTCAGAACTCAATAACATGTTTATTGTTTTTGAAAACACATGATGTTTTATAACCCTACATGATCCAGTAGTCTTAGATAGGTGAAAACAGGGGTTTTCTGAGTACTCAAGCCCCAAATAGGATGATACAGAACAACAAAAAAACGCATAAATTGCACATGGATGATCATTAGTACTCATAGTCTTTTTAATCTACAGCAGATCCTTTAGAGAATTTTTGTGTTGTATGGCCATTGTTGTATAATTAAGCAATATCTCCACTATTTTAAACTGTTGAAATCCATTCATTACAGGCTAAAACAACTATATTTTCAAATTTAATCCATAGTAGTAACCTCTACTGTAGAATTTCTAGTTGTTCTTCACCTCAGTTTCAAACTATAGAGCCCAATGACACCACATGAATTTAAACTTTGTTAGTCATATAATGCACCCTACTGTGAATCAGCAGAGGCACTGTAAAATAAAATAAAAATGCTATCACAGGTCCTCTATACCCAGGCTGCATAGCTCATCTCTATTATTATACATGTGTTTAATAACCACCACATTGTTCTGTCAATATGAGCTATGTCTGAACAACTCTGGAAAAATATCAAATTGGAATTTCTCTGACAATCATTGTAATTCAATTTTGGATTCAGTGCGCATTTTAAACTTGCCAGGGAGTTTGAGAGGAGACTGAAATATGAACTGCTAAACAAATACAAGAATCACATGTATTTTTTTCTGAATAATAATTCTTGTGTATAATTTTACCTTAGGAACTTGCCGTTTTACCTTTTTGTGTATTAATAACAGCTGCCTTAACAAGTGAATTACTTACGTTAAGAGATCAATAGGTTTCTATTAGCTAGAAGATTCTAAAAAATTAAAAATTAAAATTGCAATTTGTCTGGAAAACTATATTTATTTTCCAAAATACTTTACAAAATAGTTCAGTCTTAAATTCAGTCCTCTTTTATATAATGAAATTGTTTTTGTTTACACAGATGAGTCCCACCTGTTACTGCGCTCCCATCTGACCATGGAGGACATAGAGAGTGAGGAGTTCAAAGTTCATGACCCCTCGGTGGTATGGTTGAATGGTATGGATCAATGTCCAATTAAAAGTCTTTGTCTAGTCGCAAACACAGCAACTTTTCTAGTGATAATCATTTCTGTTATTTATTTGCCTTTGACATCATCATAAGTTAGGTACTGAGAAGTAAGGATTACAGTTAGTCAATCCATTATTAACATCAGCAGCTGGCAATTATTATAACAAAATATTGTATTTCTATTTTTTGGCTAAAAGTTACATACTAAATTCATTTTCAAAGTATTTTTGGAGCTCAAGAGTGACCTGCTCTAGTTTTCGAAAAATTTTAATATTAACAGTTCAAAGACATGGCAGAGGCTAATGGCTACGTGCTAACCAATATCCATAACGGGTTTGTTTTAAATCCATAAAGAACTTTCAAAATGCAAGATTACACAAAACTTTGTGGTAATGTTTCAGAAACAGATTTTGAATAAAAATATTGGTTTTCATTAGTTACCACATAGCTGATTAGCCCTGAGCAAACTTTCAAACGTTTAATATCATTTTCTTTTTCAGAAAGTCTATGGGGAAAATGTATGAGAAAATTTGTTCTGGAACTGCAGGACGGGCGGTCACTTCTGAGCTCCATAACACTTAGTTAGTTAATACATCTTACCAAAGTTGGATTCGAACAACTTTCAAACTCTCCTCAGATAATGAAGTCGGGCTGCGTACCAGAGAGGGCCATGTGTTATCATTCAGTCTGAACAGCAACATCACCACTGCTCTGCTGGACAACTGCTCCCTGGTGAGTTATTACACCCACACAAACAGGTCCACATATCGATCGCTTCATATTTACACACAAGCACAGCAATTGACTGGTGGATAGAGAGGTGCTTACAGAGGCTGAGGTTGCATACATACAAGAGTTGCCAAGTCTGCTTCTTTATAGCCACTTTGGGCTTTTTTTTTTTGTCACTTGTGAATTTTTGACATTCGTGGTTTGCGGGGGGTTTTGTGGCTTTCTCTTGAGAGGTACTTTCATGTCACATAGTAACAACAAAACCAGTGACCCATTAAATAATGCAAAATATGACTCAGGTGACAGTTCACACTTTAGGGTTGTTCAATGGATTTAACAAAATCTGACTGGAAACAGCAAGGGTTTGTTATAGTTTCACTGTAGCTCCTCCCTTCAGGCATATTTACGTATTTATCTGATAGGGATGGTGCATGGTAATAAACAGATAGGTGACACAGAAAACAATTACAAAATACAAAACAGTTGCAAAGAAACATAGCACACAACAGTCAAAGGATAGATTAAAAGTGTTCACAGACCTGCTTTTACTCAAAATTGCACAGTGATAGACTTCCCTTATGGTCAGAGGAAGACTGTTTCAATACTATATAACACAATGACTTAGCAGAACTCTGTCAGAACTGAAGAGGACGAAACATATTGCGAAACATATTCACTCAGAAAACTTTGGTCCAGTTGACAGAATTCAATTTTCCTTTGTGATGGAACCTACCTGGTCGACTGTTAACAGTGTAAATCTGCCAGTTTGTAGAAAAGATGCTGTTTTCCATCTGTTGTTCCGAGGAAGGTAACACAGACAGCAATGCCAAAACATTAAAACATTACTAATATATATATATATATATATATATATATATATATATATACATACACACACACACACACACAACACACACACACACACATAGGCCCATTTATGACTGAAATACAGCCTGTTACTGTTTTAAATATTGTTAGCCTCAGTTAGCCAATGACACCTGCACAGGCAGTTTAATGTGGAGAGAAGAATGAGACAGAAAACGAATTGTTGCCAAAATCTGATTTAGGTAGTTATGCTATGAGGCCAGTGGTATGTTAATTATATTAAACAGGTGATTAAAAATTGCATGTCATTGCTTGTTATGCACCCACAATATTTTGGCAGATTTTTTGGTTTATTTTTCTGTAGCATGGTCTGGTGCTTTTTCTCTGGTGCTTTTTTTTCAAGGCTTGGTCGCTTGTTGCTCTCACATGACAACTCTGATAAATACAGATTTGGCAAGGTGACAGTCTACCCTCCCTCCACTCACACATATACGCAGACATACACACACACATATATACCCACAATCTGGCTGCTCCGTGGGGCCTAGCATGTTCCTTCAAAGAGAATTTTCAGAGCGGGGGCTTCATTTTGCACAGCGCCGCAGCACGACACATCTGACTTATATGGGTCACACGGAGGAGCTCATATCGGGCCTGCGCTGTCAGGTTGGGAACAAGTCTCTCATCTCGGCTTTGATCGGACGTGACGTTTCGGATGTTGTTCAAATGTTCGTCTGGAAATCTGCGTTCTTCTACAGTACACAGATACACATGTAGTAACACGCACTAATGTACATGGGGACATACATTTGATGGTGTTGTAATCATGCAACAAGTTCTGCCGTGAACTCTTTCACAGTTATAAATCAAACCTAAATTGTCTCATATTACAACAATAGAAAACAATTCAACTAACAGTTTTCTTTGAATGAAAAGGTGCACTGCATATCTTTGCTAGTTGTCTCCATAGAGATATGATTGCTTTGCTGGGCTTAAGAGTCTTCCACTTTATGGCATTAATTGTTTTTGATCTTGCTTTTTTTTCAATTACCAATAATACCAGGCAATAATTAGTTTTACTCCCTGCGTCTTTCCTTTGGGATAGAGTGAGTTTAATGTTATACAGTGGAACATTCCAGTTAAAGCTACAACATCACCATGGAGTCATGCAGGTGGTGGTCCCTCTACTAGAGAAATTACATAGTGCACCTAAATTTCTGAATTCAATCACTGCCTAGCCTATTCCAATTACAGTATTTGGCTGGTTACAGAAGGAAAGGCAGCTGGTTTGCCCTACTGACCCCTTGTGACCGGAGAAAGTACAGGCGGTATTAGTTACTGTTGGTACATTGTTGTTCCTGCATTCTGATAAGGGTGCATTCACATTTGCAGAATCATGAACATTGGACCTAAACTGGAACTAAACCTGAAACTAAACCAGGACTAGACCAGGACTGGACCAAGGCTAGACCCGGACTAGAACAAGACTAAACCAGGACTTCACCAGGACCAAATCAAGCCTTTGTTATGACTGAAACTGTGCCTCGACCAAATGTGAACATGCCTTAAGCCAAAAAATTCTCCTTTACCAAAATACAAAAAGCATGCGGGTCAGGACTGCCGTTACTTGCACATAGGTGTAGTGGCTGAGGGATTTTACAAACAAATAGCACAAACTCTAAATAGGACAAACTCTAAATGAACTGTGCAATTTTGTTGTACAAGTTGTATATATTATGAATAAGAAAGTGCTTAAAAGACACTAAAAGTAATAATACATAGCATATATTTCTTTTCAAATTACCCAAAGATGCTTGACGTAAGGAGACAGACAAAGACAAAAGATAAAAGAAAAGATGATTGAAAGATGATTTTAAAGAGGCTTAACAATTGTCATATGAAACAAATACAGTTTGTTAAAGAGGGGTATTATGCAAATCTTTTATTTTTAGCTTTCTATTTATTTTTTTTAGCTTTATTCCCTCATCAAAACATGCTCGAAGCGGTTTTAGATGTCATCTGTGCACGTTTCAGTAATTTGGCAATCTCTCCCAGGCCCTATTCAGATCCTCCGTGTGGTTAACTGTAAGATTCTGTTTGATGCTCATCCCACAAGCCTATGTTACCCATGCTCCCACATGACAATTCTCCATAAATATACAAAAGCATGATACAAAACAATACACTATAGCTTCACAAACCTGATGCGATGTGCAGTAGTTTCATTAGCAGGATGCACTCTGATTGTGTTGTGATAGTGCTCTAAAGAGGGAGTAACTTAGTGCAGAGAGCAAAGGAAGGGGAAAGTCAGAACATCAGAAAACGAAAGTGAAACTAATTCAACATTTTAATGTGTTAGCAATTAAAACCGATTAAAAGTAAAATACCCCCTCTTTAAGCATCCAACTGTATACATCTGCTTACCTATTGTTATCTTTCTTCTTTCCCAGGACCTATCTAAGACCAGATTCCAGGTATCTGCAGACATGAGGTTTGTCCTGTTGGCGTACGACATCCGACCGGTGAGTCTTTGCTTGTGTTATATTTATTCCCAATTACCTCACAAAAGGACTTAGGCAGCTACTACCTGCAGAGAACAGGACCCATAGCCCATTAATTATGCCCCACTATCAAAGCTTTGTACGTGGTTGAGGCTTGTGGTGTCACTGTTAAACTACTGTGACAGGCATTTTAATCAAAGAAGCAACAAAGGAGCAGTGAGCCAGAGACGACAAAAAGGAGGCGGTAGAGAGAGAGAGTGCCAATTGTGCTACTGCTGCAGTGTACGGCTTTGTAATGCAGCCTGCCAAGTGACTGGGAAACATATGGGGAGTTGAATATTTAAACTGGCTCATAGTAGAGGAGGAAAGGTAAAATGGTGGAGGTTAGGACTGCTTCGTGCTTATCACTTATTTTGCTGTTTAAAGTAGACTTTACAGAGCTTAAAAAACATTTTGTCTTTTAAAAAAGATCTGTGTATGTTTGTCATGTTCTTCTTAACATGGCCCAGATTCAGCTTCCTGGTGAAGTTGTTTTTCTGTTTGTATAATGAATAGTGTAGGGCATGCATTTGATATTTTAAATCTAGTTACTATTGAATATACCTTCAAATTTGTATATATGACTTCCAGAATATGGTTATCGTTAAATGTTTTCAATGATATATATAAAGTATTAGGGCTGTTGTGGAATAGCATTATTTTTGTATTTTAGTTTTTTCTATTGTACATTTTAAAAAACTTAAAGGTGCACTTTTCTGTTGGGTTACACACCTGTTTCTTTTCGTGGAGATGTTTGGTTTGGGTGGTCCACAGTGTGCCATTAAACTTGCTTTTTTTCAATTACAGGGGTTTTCACTGCTAAAAATAACTGCTTTCTTACTGTGAGCAGAGAGAGAGGGAGGGAGAGAGCAGGGACACCTCTCCACAGATCTGATCTATAACTTGACCCAACCTGCTTGTCTGCACAGAGATGGATAAGTTTAATACCATACTGTTGAACATTGCGGGGAAAGCAATAACATCTCTATGGATAGATGATAGACCTCAATGGAAAAGGCGACAGATGCGCCATTATAAAAGTTACATAGTGTACCTTAGTCAACAGGTAGAACATAATTTGCCAGAAAATATCTTGACAGAGAACGGTTGCAAAAATAAACCTTTTTTTTTTTTTTTTTTTTTTAACAAAATGTTCATCCTTTAATTACAAGACTTTCCATTGGTTAGTCTGTTTACACTCCAGATCAGCGCTTATCTCTGTTTAATTAGTTGTCTATCATTTCTATCACCAACTAGTCACGTATAATCCGATCAGTTGTTATAGCTTTATCTCATTTCTTTCTCACATCATCCAGCCCTAGTGGTTGTGATGGTGCTGGGGGATTACTAGAGAAAAGCTTCAACTGATCTGTGCGAAGTGATGGCAATAGAATGGAGTAAGAGAGGGAGTAGAGGAGGGAGGGGGGTTGGTAATAGCAGGTGGAGGGGGGTAAGAGAGGGAGGGAGAAGAGGGTGAGATCAAGGCGATGAAGACGCGGTAAAGTTGGTGTAATGAAATCTGCTCACTGCATCGGAGGGGAATTTTAATGAGGATCTGACGAGAATCACAATCGCAGGTGGTATTGTAGAACAGGACTGCAGGACACTGATCTCTCTACACTCATTTAGCTGTTTACAAATGGCAGGACAGTATGTTGTTGGCACAGTCTCAGGTGGGAACAGGAGGCAGTATTCCTATATCAATTATATGATGTTCTCAATGGAAGTATCCACAAGGGAAATGCTCAAATGTTGAACCAGATTATTCATAGGGACATTGTGCAATATTAATCAAACCACAGCACACTATGTAGATTAACAAGAATCATTTTGCCTGGCTGCAACATAGCAAAGCAGGACTTTATAATGCTATCTTAAAGGTGCACTATGTATCTTTTATGGTGGGGGGACTTCCACCTGCTTTTCTCCGTAAAGATGCTCCAAGAGGAAAACTTGAAGGAGACAGAGCATTTTCTGTTGCTGGGCCTAGATTATGGAATGAGTTACCTGTTCACATTAGACAAGCAGACTATTTTTTTGCTTTTAAATTTCTTCTTAAAACACAATTTGTTTTCTTTGGCTTTTAACTAGTTTGAGGTCTAATACCTTTTCTATAATTGTTGTATTTAACTTTTTTTTCCAGTGTATTATACATATGTTTCATCCCTGTGTATAGCTTTGCCTGGAATGTTCTACAGTATGACAATAAACATATCTATCTAATTTGAAAAAGATGCATACTTACTGTGAGTGGGGTCATTTCTCCACAGCTCTTATAACTGTAACTTGGCTTGGTGGCTCTAAATGCTTCTTTCCATAAATTAAATGTGAAACATTTCAGGCAAAACAATAATATACCTTTCCATGGAGACAAACAGGTGGTAGACCCCAAACAGAAAGTGTACACAGTGCTCCTTTAACTCCACTTCTGGTTGCCCTAGCAGTTTATAATGCCTTTTGGCTAATTTCAACCTTTTTTTCAATGCTGGCTTGCGATATTTGATTGACATAGAAGTAGGTTTTATTTATTTATTTATTTATTTGAGACAGAGACAGCGCACAATTTTTACATTAACCTTAACGGGAGAGATGCATTGTACCAGGCTGTAGCATCAGTGCTAATTTCCACCTGTCGTCCCTGGGCAGATTCATTGATTGATTGTATTTAACTGACCTTGACTATCAACTGTTCTCCCTGAAGACCTATGTAACATGTTTTGGTTTGATGGGGAAACCGGAGTGCTCAAAGGAAACCCATCCAGACACTGGGAGAAACATGCATTCTTTTCTTCTGTTTCTGTCTGTTTCTCAGACTGTACATTCAAAATTTTAATAATTTTGATTAAATTGTCACCCTTGTTGTTTTTAATTAGCATGAAACAAATTTTATCCATTGGTTAGCAATTTTCCAAGATGTTATAATTATGTTATAATAAACATGTGTGAGTTATGTTTTGATAAGGAAATATGAACTGACAAACTAATACAAGAATCACATGTATTTCAGAACATGCTAATACTGAGCTATACCACAGAGTTAGTGCTTTTTATGCAGAATAAGACAGGATTTACATCCTAATTCTGTTTTTATTTGTGCTGTTGTTTCATTGGTGCTTGGGTTTTCCATAAAGCTACAAACCCCATGCAGCTTTTCCACTGTGCAAACTCCATCTGCATTAATAAACACTGGCTCTTTCCTCAAAGGGCAAAACTGGCTTGTGTAAGGGCTGATCGCTACGGAAACTGAATTAAGGGGCGAATAAAAGCCCTCAGCTCTACATTTTATTTAAATTATTCTGCTGTTCATTTCAGACTCAGTTTTTTTCAAACATAGCCTTTTTAATCATTTCATGTTTTGTTCTGTTTCTTGTTCAGTGGTAATTAGTCGCTCCATCATTGCCTCTTTATGAATTATGAAGCTGTTAACATAAGTTCAACCCAGGACTGAACTTGTCTAATTGCAAATTTGTTGACAATAGTTGTGTTTTTTTGTTTAGGTTTGTAATGTATTGTTTTGATCAAGATTCAGTTCCCAATGCACATTGTAAACAGCTCCAAGAGTATTAATAATTGAGAGAAGACTGAAATAGGAACTGAGAAAATGTAATGCAAAAATGTATCACAGAACATGTTTATAGAGGTCTTTTTTTTTTTTAGTATTACAGATATGTGATTCAGTTCACAAACTGCATGGTTGGCATTTTTAAACTGTATGTAAAAGGCTAAAACAGGGTTAGCATGTTTTTTTAATATAGGTATGTTTTTGATGAGGTAACAAGATTATAACTATATTATATATCTGAGCATAATTTGGTCTCTTTAAATAATGCTGTGGTCTCAATATTGGTATCAAGTATCAAGGCTTTGGTATCAAAATTCACAGAAATTTTAACATTGTGGCAACACTAATTTAGATAACCACATCCTTTGCCAATTGCGACCATCTGAATAGCATTTTTGTTTCAATAATAATTCTTTGCAGTCCTAGCTTGAATCCTTATCTGCATTTGCTTTATAATGTACAGTATATCATACGTCATTGCATTTTTCTGTTCATATCTGCAGCTATTGTCTGTTCCCATGAATGCTGTATGTACATTGAGAGGAGCAGTGAAATGCCACCCACAATCATGTTTAGGAATGATATCAATATACCAAGTGCGCCTGCTCGACATTTATGTGCTAATTCATTCACCTCTCCTCCCGTGGCCCATCTTCTCACACTCTTCTGCTCTGTCTATCTCAAGGGGAATTTATGCTGAGCTAGGCAGTTTGCAATCGCTTTCGATAGTGGGGAGAGAATGAGAAAGAGGGAGAGAGAGGGGGGAGGTGGAGAGGAGGAGAGAGGGAGAGTCATGGGGTAGGATAGAAAGAGAGAGAAAAATGTGTTATGCACCATTTGGCCTTAGATACTATATGATGCCCAGAGTTGAAATCAATCAGAATAGTTATCAGAGAATGACAGGAGATGCTATGGGGTTCAGAGCACTGCAGTGGTGAGAGATAGGAGAGGAGTGGGTGCAAGTAAAGGGATTTTATATTGCCTTTAAATGCTTCAAGGCAAGCTTTTGTGACCAGCGGGCGAAAAATAAATTGGTTTTCATACGAGAGCATGCATTTTGAGGTAAAGGATACGACCACATAGGGACAACTCCTCCTCAGGGACTGTGTCTGTTTGAATATGTTGGGTTTACATGACATCACAACATTGTATAATCCCCATAGATTAAAATTGATCTGGAGGACAAGTCGGAATATAGTTCAAAGTATTCTCTGTCAGTATAAATAAACAAAGGTGATTTTTTTTTCTTCACAATAGCTTCAGAAAGTGCTACTATTATTCAATCCCCAAAAACGTGATAGTTGTCAGTTGAAATGACTTTGAGACATAAGATTTAAAGCGCTGTATCTGATTTTTACAGTCTTAAAAAAATGCAAAAAAACAGAACTAGTTCATTTTAAACAGTTGCACACATGCATTC